GAAAAGATGTGGTGATTCCACCCAACTAGGGGCGTGGAAGTATGTGTGTTAGGAGTACAATGCTCTCATTTTGCTGTGACTCTGTGTGTAAGCCAAGGACTGTGTTTATATGGGTTTGAATAACCATTTTGTGTAACTAGGCTCAAGCCTTGGAAACTTGTAAACCCTTGGGGGTATTTATTTGTTTTTGTGCTTGTTGTTGGATTAATGTATTATTGCATAAAGACCTATTGTATCATGTAATGAAAGTTTGGAGATTTCTATTCGGTTTTTCTTGAAAGAGTCATGATTGTTGTATTATCATTTGGGTTAGAAATTTAGGGCATTACAATATAAGATACTTTGATGAAAAAACTCGTCAACTTAGTTGTCAATTTTATCAAGTTGATGGAGAAATTCAACATTGGAGTAAAACATTAGAGAATCTTAAAAAACACAAATTTTATGTGTTTCTAAGAGGCTTTTCTAAGCAAAACTTTCTCTCCACAAAAATCATGGCCAATGAAAAATTAAGTTCTGAAAATGGCATGCCTGGGGGACAATTTTTTAACCCGTTAATTGAAAAAAAAGACCAACTTCTTTTGCCAAAAGCTATTGAGTATTTTAATCAAACTGGAGGATATGGTTTTAAGTCAAATATGACAAAGAATGTTGAACAACCATTACAAAATGATGGTGAACATTCAATTGGAAAGTATGATTGTAAGCCAAACATGGCTAAATTTGACGAACAACCATCACAAAATGATGATAAAAATTCAATTGGAGGGCATGGTTTTCAGCCAAATATGACTAAATTTGATGAAAAACATCACAAAATGATGGTGAAAATCCAATTAGGGGGTATGATTTTGAGCCAAACATGGCTAAAAATTATGAACAATCCATATTTGATGAATTTGAATTTTTCAACATTGTTAATTTTGTCAAAAAATTTAATTTTCTAAAGTTAATTGGCATTATGATTTCTACCATCCAACAACTACAATGGCTTTGTGGTTCACATCAAAAATTAATTTTGATAAAATGGTTTACAAAAAGAAATTCTGAATTTTATTTCTATTTTTTATATAACAGTAATGGGGGTGTATTTCGATATTGCCACAACAACAAAAAAACTATATATATATATGGCCAATAAATTATAATTTTCATAATTTCTATTATATATTTATATTCATACAACTCTTCAAGAATTTCAATACTCATTCTTAAAGAGTTGGGGGAGTATTGTTTGCAACATAAATAAAATTTCTATCGATTATAAATAGGTTTAAACTTTCTATACTTATTATTATTATTGTTATTATTATTATAATTACGCAGGAAAATCTTAAAAATTAAGAGAAGTTAAGGCAAGTTTTGAAGATTCAAGGGATGGAGGACAAGTGGCAATGTAAGAAGATGGAAGTTATATGGGTGATTAGATGATGGTTAATAGAAGTTTGTTCCTACAATTTTTTTTTTTTTTTTGGGTATAAATTGTCATTGATGGCTCTATTGTAAAGATCACCAAAAAATCAATACATGACTTGATTTTCATTTCTTTTCTATCCTAAGAGTAGATTTAATCTACATAGTAGTAGTTTAAACTTAGATAGGAGTAGTCTTAATGTGCTTTACATGTATTTAATTGTTCATTCAATTATTTACATCATCATCTTTTTCTTCTCTATTTTTTTTTTTTCTTCTTCTTTGTCTTGTCATTATTTTTACTCCAAGGAAGTCCTTGAAACTTTCAAGGTATGGAACCTCAAACAATTACTTAATCATTGTATTGTTTAGTGAAATTTTGGTTAAGGCTCTGTAGATCTAAGCCTAACAAAAATTTTACTAACAAAGTGTCAATTAATTTTAAAGTGTCATCTCTAAGTGGCAATTGCAGTTATGCAACAAGGAACTTTTATCAGAAGAAGCTAATTTCTGTATTGCATTCGCCACTTGGTAACATTAATTAGTTTAATTAAATTTATTAGCTACACATTTTTTTCATAAATTATTTGTGAACATATATTAATTATTATTTTTTATTCATTGTATTTACACATTATTTAAATGAATTGTTAATTCTTATATATTATTTTACTTACATTACTATGGATCATAATATTCATAATGTTTATGTCGATGTTGATACATATACTATACAACATGAATCTGTTGATTCTCCTTCTAATATCCATCTTCCAATAGTTGGATCATCATCTAAGGGCACAACTAGTATTGTTTGGGACCATTTTGAAAAAATATCTATAAATAATCCTGATGGTACAATTATATTTAAAGCAAAATATAAATATTGTGCACATTTACTTAATGCTGCATCTGCAAGAGGTATTAGTCATCTAAAAAGGCATGTTAACAAACATTTACAAAGTCAACAACCTGATATTGGAAGTCAAATGCAATTAGGGGTTTCATCAACTGGTAATTTACAAACATTTTCATATGATCCTATATATGCACAAAATTTTGTAGTTGATTATGTTATTAAAAAAAAAAAAAAACAACCTTTTACTATTAGTAAATGTCTGAATTTTATCAAAATGATTTACAAAAGTTTTTGTACCGCAATATCAAAGTTTTTCAAGAAACACTACTAGAAACAGGATTTTAAAGAAATTTGAGGATGTTAAAAGTAAATTAGTTGACATCTTTAAAAAATTGAATGGAAGAGTTTGTTTAACATCTGATCTGTAGTCAAATAATGGTTTCGAATATCAATGAATCACTACGGTGCCGTTTGGTAACACTTACGTTTTCAGTTTTAAAATTTTTGTAAATATAAACTGAAAACGTAAACGTTACCAAACAGACCCTACACATTTTATTGATAATGATTGGAAATTAAATAGAAGAATTACTTCATTTAAATTAGTTGAACTTCCATACATTGGTCATTCGCATGGTGTAGAAATAAGAAATATATTATATGAGTGAGTTTTACAAAATAAAATATTTACGATTAGTTTAGATAATGTTGCATATTATAATCAAATTGTAACTCATTTAAAATCAACTTTACAATTACTTATTGATAGTGATTTATTTCATGTTCGTTGTTGTACCCATATTTTAAACTTGATTGTTAAAGAAACTATGCATGTATACAAGACTTTTGTACTTGTAATAAAAAATACAATTGTTACTATTATGTCTTCTGCTAATTGAATTTCAGAATATAGAAAAATTTGTCAACGAGAAAATATGTCATTTAAAAAATTAATTTTAAATATAGATAGTAGATGGAATTCAACATATAATATGTTAAAAAAAGCTTGTAAACAAAGAAGAGCAATATATTTATTTTCTGCAACAACATCATTAGGGGGAGTACTGACTCCCATAGAACTTAATTGGCGCCAAGTAGCCTTGTATAAATTTTTTTAAAAAGTCTTTGATATTTCAACAAAATTATTTTCTTATATATATTCGTACTTCACCATTTGTTTTACATAAGCTAGCAGAAATAATTAAAGTTTTCGTAAAATATATAGATAATGCATATTATGTAACCATTATTACTTCAATGAAAGTAAAATTTGATAAATATTTTGATCATTTGCCTTATCTTTTAGGTTTAGCCATAATAATTGATCCTAAGTGTAAATAAATTGATTTACAAGAACTTTTAGAACGTATTTTCGTTGATCAAACACAGTTTATCCCTATTATGCAAACAAGCAACATATTATTTGAAGAATACAGAGCAGCTACATCTATAAATATACCTATACACACTACACTAGCAGTCTCATCTCGAAGCGGGAGATTAAGTGTTTTTTCAATAATAAAAAGTAGAAGAATATCTCCACATACAAACATAAGTAGTTCCAAACTACAACATTATTTAAAAAGTTCGTCAATGGATGATTCCGATGATTTTTGACATTTTGAAATGGTAGAAATAAAATGATACTATGTGGCTTGTGATTTCACAGATGACCCATGATATACTAATCGTTCTTATTTTTACAGTTGCTTCGGAAACAGCTTTTAGTACAGGTGGACAGGTGTTGAGCGATTACTGTAGCAGGCTTTCACCCTAAATGGTTAAGGCACTGATGATATCCAGAGATCATATGCATGCGCTTACGAAAAAATAAAATTATAGTGAAAATGAGCAAATTCAAAATGATTTGAATGACATATCATTGGATAACGCGATTGAAATGTCTGTGTCTTCCGATGATTGATCAACAATTTATTTTTTACTATTTCATTTTTATTTTTTTTTTGGTATTAGATTATTGAGGTGAAGTATAATGCAAATGATTGGTAAGTTAGTACAGTCAACCTAGCTGGATGTACTTGGCCTATAGTGATATAATTGCTCTACCATGATTAATAATCTACACGTATTTTATTTAATGATATAAATTTTTGTAATATTTTATTTCATTTTGAAATAAAAATTATTCATTCAATAAATGTTATATAATTAATTTAATATTGTAATATTGAAAGTTTCATTTTTATATGTATAAAATTATTTTTTTCGAAAGAAAAAAATTACATAATTATATATTTTTTTAGTTATAAGTTCATAAATAAAAAAATAAGTCATACATAATTAAATTTAAATGCCATTATAAAACATAACTAAACAAAATATCTCATTAATCTTAACTGAAATATTTTAAAATAATTTTTTATTTTTATTTTTTATCCCTAATAAATAATTTACATAAATAATGTATTTATTATTCATTTTTACAACAAAAAAGTTCCACTAGACCCAACCTACAGTCCAAGCCCAAGCTCACTAAACTGGTCCTAAGCCCTATTATAAGTGGGTCTCAGCTTGGGCCTGAATAATACTTTTCGACCCGTGTAGCCCGCTAAAAAAAGTAAAAACTCACTAAACCCGTTTGGGCCGGTCCGAGCCCGAGTCCGAGCCCGCCGGGCCATTATTACATCCGTCACACAAACTCATTTCTCTCTCCTCTTCTCTGTCTAGCTCTCTTGTTGGTGTCTTGTTTGTCTCACCAATGGCGTTCTCTGTGACTGCGACCTTGCGTTGCCCATCTCTCTGCAAGGGTCTGCTCAAGAATTCAAGGTCTGTTCCTCAAGCTCCAACTTCGATTTCTTTCCGATCTTCTCCTGCATATCTCAGCCGCACAAAGCCCTTGTCAATTCGATCTGCTTCAATCCAAGGTAATACACCTCTCTCTCTCTCTCTCTCTCTCTCTCTATATATATATATATATATATTATTTTTTTTTTAATAAATGTGAAATCTTTCTGCTAATTGAATGAATCAAAGCATAGATTCATATATTGAATTTGTATTTGGGCTAAGGAAAATTATATATTCTTAGTTGAATTTTGATTCTTCAACTGCTCAACCCTGAATTGGTAATGGAAACTTTAGGAATAATTTGAGATTAAGGCTGATTTGATTTTAATATGAGTGAACAAATAGTGAGGAAACAGTACAGATTCCTTATTTTAACCCACTCATATCCTAATGAAATGTTTAGAATTTCTCAAGCTAGCGAAATCCATAATTTCCTGTTGTCCTTTGATATTTTTATTTTACTGGAAAAAAAAGAAAAGGCTTTTATATTAATGTTTAAAAATTCACTTATGAGTGTCTTGGATTAGAGGCCAACCAAAAACTTGTTTGATGTCTAGAACCCATCTCCAACCCCCACCCCTGATTTCTATATTTATATATATATATATAAGAAAGTAAACTAAATGAAGTAGCAGAAGAAAATAAAAATATTGAAGAACATACAAGGGAGGGAAAAACGAGAGATTAGTTGGTGATCAGTAAGTCCAGACGCCTTCTCCCAATTGGTTTCCTCATCATTAAGTCCCTTCCATTTAACAAGGAACTCCTAGAATGCTGACTGGACTTCGCTCACTCGGTCTGCTGCCTCTGATGATGAGTGAATCTGAAGCCATCCCTTTCTGTCTAGAATCCGTTGCTTGCTTTCTAGATTCTTGGATGAGCAGAACATCTTTGAGACAAATCAAACGAACGAAACTAGCTGGTTCAATCAAAATGAATTCTTGTTTGCTTTGACTGAAGTGCTATGTATGGATGTTCCTCTTCCCCCATTTGACAACTCTATCTCAGAATGTTCGGATGATTATTTGGAACCCCCTTAACTAAAACATGCTTTGAATTTTATTCTTTTTTATTATTTAAAACTCTATTTATTTATTTATTTATTGCCTCATGATCAGTCACATCAAGTTGAAATAAGGGCAACTTTAACTTCTCAATATTGCCAACAATTTGTATCAAATTGCATACCAATAGTTGAGTGATATACCACAAACAACCACCCCTCTATAATTTTTTTTTTTTAAAATTTTTTTTTTTTTTTAAGCAACCACCCCGTATATTAGCCTTTGATGTTGAAGTCTTTCCAAAGAACACTTCCACGAAAAGTCGACTACCCCTTAGCAAGACCACTGTATTCAAGAGAAAATTGTAAACCAACTTCTCTAGCTCTAATTTTCATTTTTGAACATAAAGTGGATGGCTAGATGGCTGCTACAATTTGAGTTTAAATAGGCTTCAAAGATTTGATATTCCCAATGGATGTGTATCATCACATACCATATTAGCCACCTCCTTTACCAATTAAGCTTGGTGGATAAAACTTTACAAAACGCAAATTAACTTTTGATATTTGAGTACATCAGAGGCAATAAATATATATATATATATATTTTTCTGCACACATTGGAGGACATGACATCAGGCTTCCTTTGGAAACCTCTTAAAAGCCAATTTATTGGCTAAAGAGGCCCATTTTTCTGTATATAGAAAAAGTAGGTCATTTGGGAATGCCCATTTCTTGCCAAAAAGGTAACTTTAGCCATCGTAAAAAAACTAGGGCAAATTGCAAATAGGCAGGACAGTCACAAAATAATTGCACTCCAAATGAGAATCTTTTTTGGTGCAACTCTGACACACAGGAACAGTTGCACCAAGCACAAGAATGGACTTGCACCATGCACACAAGAGAGTTGCAACATCATGAAAATGTAATTCTTTTGCCACTATTCCACTGAAATGTTATTTTTCCAAAAAAACTATTAGAAAAGCCAAAAGAGCTAGGAATATGCTAAACGAATTAGTTTTTTTTGGTATTATCTTTTTTGTTGACTTATTTTTAGCCAATAAGTTAGCTTTTAGCTAACTCCCAAAGGAATTTAGATGACTCTTTTAATTTTTAATTTTTTAATCAATGTAAATTGTTCTATTTAAGGAAATTCAAAAGCAAGTGAATATTAACACCTTTTGGTTTCTCAATCAGAAAATATCACAAGAAGATAATTGCTGTGTTGTGTTTGGCTTATTACTCTCCTTAAATTTTTGTACTCAGTAGAATGAACTTACTATACGAGCAAACGTTGTTGACAAGCAAATTTTTAAATTATTTCTTACATAGCTTAGGTAATAATCCTTTTTTTTTTTAAAAAACATATAAAGCCACACACAATGTAATTTGAGTTGGCAGGGAGTGTGTTTCAAATACAACTAAAAATTAAAGTTTGGCTTTTTATTACCCAGCTAGCACATGTACAGTGTTTAGTAATGGTTTTTCTGCTGATTAAGTTTCAGATGGAGAGTTGGTAGGACTCTCTCAATATAAGGAAAAAGGGGGGGAAAGTTAGTTTGCTTGCTCTTTATTCGTGCCAGAGGAAAATATTTTTAGGGAATGTTTTCATGCAAGTAATTTTCTGTGGATGCTATGTTTCATCCCTGTTTCAATTACATGCTTGAATCTAAGGGGTTCTAGTGCTAGCTGATAAGTTTCGGTGTTCCACAATCAATATCCAGTATGCACAGCTTTTACTTCAGATTTAATGATCCTAAACATTTGATTAAATTTTGTTTAACTTGGAGAATCTCTAGCAAGAGTTGTGACTAAATGTAGTTTTCATGTCTTTGATGCTCGGTTGTTTCAGAAATTGCCTCTCAGTGTACCCCTAAACCAGAATTGTGAGGCTTATCCTAAAACTATATTGCTTGCATGGTTTGATGGTTGAATTCACCCTATTTTTCTACTTTAACTCCTTTGTGTTAGCATGACATCACCTGATGGGTGAATCACTGCCTTCTGAGCATACCTTTTTGTGATCAGTGGCAATAAAGATACAATCATACAATGCTCTCTTATTATCCTCCCTCCCTTCTTGGCCTTCTTTTTATCATGCTCTCTAAATACATTGTGTTCAAGCACTCGTCTCTTTGATTTGAAAACAAAATGCAGTTCAAGTTTGTCAAATGAAGCATTTGCATTTTAATGACACATTAACGTTGTGAAGGAAAAACATGTTATTCTTTTCCCAAAGCTACATAGTGCTACCAATTTGATATGTACATTTCGACTATTCTTTATGAAAGTTCCATTTGACAGGGCTGGTGTGGATCGTTTTCTGTGAATAAAATGATTTATTGATTGTAACTTATAACTTATATTGAGCACATATGTCTGGTCACAATCAATTTTGTCTTCAGTTTTGTTGCATGAAACAAGATATAGATGCTTGAATTTTTTTTGTTGTTATTATTTTTTAATATATATATGCTTGAAACATTCAAAAGCTTTCCTAATCCTGAACTGAAAGTACCATACTTTTATTTTTATAAGACTCCTTGAATTGTTTTATTATTCAATTCCTTTTGGGTTGAGGCCTATCAAGTGCTCTTTAAATGGATTCTGTTTTTTATATGTCAAAAAGTATGAAATTATGAATTTACAAGTATCCTTATATACATCAGCCGCACCACCGACATCTGGGGGAGTTACGCCTGCAATTGCCTTGACGGATGATGCACTGAAGCACTTGAATAAGATGAGATCTGAGCGGAATGAAGATTTATGCTTAAGAATTGGTGTTAAACAGGGTGGATGTTCTGGCATGTCTTACACAATGGAGTTTGAGAACAGAGGAAACCAGAGACCAGATGATTCCATTATTGAATACAATGGTTTTGTTATTGGTAAGCCTTTATCTTCCTGTTTGCTTTCTTGTTGAGGTTTAAGTATGAATTGATAATGGGCATTTGGATTTCTATTTCTCTCTTGATGACAAATCTCCATTTTCTTTCACCATTTATATTCAAATTTCAAGATTTTGATATCTTTATTCTAGCAGTAATCCTGGTTAGCCAGAGCTTGTGACTTAAAAGTTAATGGCTAATCTAAAAATATACAAGCAATAATTTTAGCACGCCTGATAGTCATTCATTGAATTGGCTGCAAACTTTTAGTGTTTCCCTGATGCTCATATGGTAATTATAAGCATAATTTTCAAGTATTCATAAATTAGGTATGCTTGGTATGCTTTTAGATATATATATATATATATATATATAAATAAACTGTGAAGATCTTTGGTTTGTAATTGTAAGTATGGTCAATTAAATATTGGCAGTAAAATCAGGATTGGGAAGATTTTATGATTTCAAGTGATAGTTTTACTTTATAACGGTTAAAAGAGAGTGTCTTATTGTTTAGAACTTAGCTGTTAGTAAGGAAGAATGTGATCACCCAATTGATGAGTTCATGCCAACACTAAAGTGGCCACAGCTGGTGGTAGGCAGGAATATATTCCGATCACCTTTGCATGACATAGCCATGAGGCGCTCAACGGACCTTTTAATCTTTTAAAACCCCTTTTGGGGCTTTGGATTGATGCAAAACAATTTTTTTGTGCAACCTAGTGTGTATTATTCAGTGGTGAGTCATGAGGTAAGTTGAACTTGATGTAGATCATTGGCCCCGTAAAGGGAGAACATATTGTATATGAAATGGGCTTCTTTTTTTATTTTTTTATTTTTTTATTTTTTCCAAGTTTAGATACTATAAAAGGAAGTACCAAGGGGCTGCACATATATGAATTATGAAATGAGCATTGCTGGAAAGAATATGTTAAACTTCGAATCCATGAATGATGAGAGAAAAAGGATAGAATACAAATGCATTGGTGAGAAGTAGAGTTAGCATTACATTTGGACAATGATGAGAAAAAATACATGGAAGATGATATTGTTACGCTCACAAAGATGAATAAATGATCCTCTAAAGTAGTTAGTGGTCTAATTGAGCAAGGTAAAGATTAATAAATAAAAAAGAAGAAGAAGATGCAACAAAGACTAAAAATGGACGATATAGTTTGTAATTGTCATAAAAGACCTGATATCCCATACCTTTGACAATAGATATGGTGCTCTATGGATTATAATGGCAAGAAAGTATGTTGTTTAGCATATTTCAAGTAGTTGGCATGAAGCTTTGTTGAGTTAATTTAAAACCAGAACTTCTTTAATTGTTTGCTCTCTCTGCCTTTGAGTGTTGCATGGTAGGCAAGACGTTGAGAGAGATTATCACAGGGCCGCCAGCTCGATACCCTTTTGACGCCTTGAGTTAAACCTTTAAATGAGACCTTTTATTAATTTTCAATATATATATATATATAAAAAGGGCCAATTAGTACACATTAATGTATGTTTGGGAGGGGAAAGATTTAGTACACACCTACCTAACCTTTGGCATAATGCACAAAGTGGTGGTCCCAAGACTTGAACCCATAACCTCAAGATTATTAGGCCAAGTCTTTAACCATTGAACCAATGGCTACCCCTTTAATTTTCAATATTATTGACAAATATTTTATTTATTTTACTTGTTTCTAAGACCCAAAATTACTTAGGCCTCGTTTGGGAACAGGATAATTTAGTAACTTTTTGGCTATTTGGCTAAAATATGAGCTAAAAAAAACTAGTATGTTTGGGATGACTTTTTGGTTAATTACGAAAAGATGTGGCAAAAGTAGAGAGAAAAGAGAATCTTTGACTTTTTGGTATGGGTTGTTGGCTTTTTGGCTAATTTAGTAAAAAGTTAATGTATTCTAGTTTTGCTAACATATCCACTTCAGTTGATAGTATGGTCAATCCACTTAATCTTTTCTTATGACATTGTCAATTTAACGTATGATTTTATCTATTTTAATTTTGAAAATTTCTTTCTGTAGAAGCAACTATTATAGGTTCTGTCATCTCTTATTCATGAAGCTTGAAATTTTTTACTTGAAATGCTTTCAATGTGACTTTCTCAAAATGTTTGTGACAATAACTTAAAATTTGATACATTATCCTATAAAAATTTCATCAATTTGTAGACCAAGACTATTTGGTTTGGGGTTTGAATTTTCCTCTTGGGCTTGAACCATCTTTGTGGGGCTTATATTTTTATGGTGCTTAGACTTTTGGTTGGGGATAATACTAAAGGCATATATAAAATAGAGTAATGTCATACAAATAGAATTCTTGTACAAATTTTTTTACAGAATGATATGGCTTTTTGTGGTCGTTTTATTTCAAATCAAAATACCCACCATTGTGGATCATAATCTCAAAAAAGCGTCACTGCTACATCATTTTGTATTAATTTTCTAGATATAAAGTCTGTTTGTGGATCTTATTTCTAAAATAGGTCCTTCTTTGTGGGTGGGGCCTAAAGTCATTGCTTTGGTGGCTTTATTCTTAATCTGGCAATGGATTACCATTCTTTGCATGCCCTGAGAAGTAAGAAGTTGATAAGTTACTACAAGGTTGCTCTTTTAATGGAGTTTTGCAGTAACATTTTAATCTTTCCTTAGTTTAAATTTGGTTAGAACAAGAGTGAAAGAATTCCCTTTTGTGTTAACATGACATCCTCTAGTTGAAACGTGTTTCATTAGAATTCATACATAAATGTGTTTATAAATCATAACTGGGATTGGGACATTCACAAACTGGTGGCAGAGTGACTTGTATTGGCATATGCCAAAAAGCACCCTCTTCTCTGCCGTGTCCCTGTTAAATACCAGAAAGTTTCTAATTGTGTCCAGCTCTATAACAGAGCAAAATGCTTTTCTACTTTTCTGATAACCTTCTTGTAGATATCTCACAATATTTGATCTTAGATCGCCAGTTCAATTTTTCTGTTGCAGTTGTTGATGATATGTGGTTTTCCTTTTTTCTTTCTACAGTTTGTGATCCAAAGAGCCTTCTTTTCCTTTATGGCATGCAATTGGACTACAGTGACGCACTCATTGGTGGGGGCTTCGGTTTCAAAAATCCAAATGCTACACAAACTTGTGGTTGCGGTAAATCATTTGCTGCTGAGATGTGAAATCATGTAAATACATAAAACTGAACATGGAGTACTTTTGGATGAGTGGACATGAATTGTCTGTTTGAGAATTATTCAACCACTGCATATATATAATATAAAAGCATTTATTTAAAAATTCTTTGGATGTATTTCCGCATGCTGTGGTAAGCAGCATAAATACTGATATAGCCAATCATTTCTTTGTGTTTTTTGTTTTTTTGTTTTGGTTATTTTATTTGCTCATGACTCTTCTGGCAATCAAACTCCTTCAGCAATGTCAAAAGGTGCCCCCAACTGGACTTCTATCTTCAGTCATATGTTGGAACCGGTTCATGTTGAATCAACTGGTTTCAAGCCATATGTACAAGGACTAGTAAGGCTACAGTGGACTCATAAATGTACATTGTTGTAAGGAAAATTTGTCTAATTCAAAAAGGCTGTGTATTGGTACTGAAATGTATTCAATTGTTGTCAATGAAGAAATTGTGGATTATCTCAATGCTAAAGGGGGTCTACGACAGGGAGATCCTCTATCCACCCTATCTATTTCTGCTTGTTATGGAATGTTTCCACTGTATGTTATTCAGTAGGGTCAACAAGGGGATTTTACTTTCCATGCCAGATGCCAAGAACTGGAACATTTTCAAGTAGCTTTTGCTGATGATCTGTTCATAGTTGGTGGTGCTGACAAGCATCAATGGTTTTGGCATATACAAATCCCTCATGATTCTTCATGGACCCAAAGGAAAATCTTTAAACTTGGGGATATTGCCCAGGCCTTGATCCATGGTACTATTGGCAATGGGCAAGATGCCTTTTTATGGTTGGATAATTGGCATCCCATGCGACCTTTATACCCTAAGTTTGGTAATAGAATTGGGCTGAATTTGATCAGAAATATCAATGCTAAAGTTGGTTAAATGGTTCAGAGGAATGAATGGAAAGCAGATTCCACCTACTTTGAAGTCGGAAAAAGGGAAGAATAGAGTTAAATGGATATCAACCACGAATGGTGGATTTTCAGTTAGGACTGCTAGGCATGCCATTAGAAGTCATCAACAGAATGTACCTTGGGCAAAGGTAGTCTGGTTTATAGATAATGTTCCAAAGTGGGCATTCAATATTGGCTATGTTTACTTGGCAGATTATCTACCTTAAATAGGATGTACAAATGGGGTTTAGTTTAGACTCAAACATGCAAAAGCTTTGTGATGACCTTCATGAGAACTATTCCCATCCCTTTTCCAACTGTCGTTTCACTAATGCTCTATTTGGTTCATTGGAATGAGTTGGAATAGAATGACCATCCCTTAGGCTCTCATATGGAATGATCATTCCCTTGAAATGATGAATGATGATTCTATTTATGATATATTTTGTCATTATTTTTTAGTCAACCAAATATGGGAATGAATATTTAGATAGAATGATCATTTTATTCCATTTCATTTTAGTGAACCAAATGCTAAAAATTTTGGACAAACCCAGTATTCAAAGACGTCCATTCAAACTACGGGGTGGGTGCAATTAGATTGCACAACTTAGGAAGAAAAGTAAGTTCGCTCAAAAGTTGTTCAATCTTACACTAGCTGTAACTGTATATTTCATTTGGCAGGAGAGAAATGCAATTATTTTTGCAACATTCGAGATGATCAGAGACTTGAGGGAATTTTTGTAAATATTAGGGGTAGAGTAATTAGGTGGAGGGGTATTATGGATGATCAGTTTAACAGGGGAGTTATGCTCAATTGAAATCTTTCTAGCAGCTTGTTTCATAGATTTTGATTTCTTTTTACTGTAAAAATACTTGGGGTTTACCTTAATTGAACTCCTGTAAGTTTTGTTTTGCTGTTATATACATCACCTTATCAAAAAAAACAAATAAATAAATAAAATAAAATAAAAATAAATGCTCTACAACATGGATGTAATTTTATCCTTATTTTTTGATAGATTGATTTTTTACTCAAACTTGTGCATCATAATATTAAAAATAGTGTGTGCCATATATAAGTTATGACATTTGTGGATTTGTTAAAAATTAACGAGTTTTGCAAACTTGTTTTATTAACAGGTACACAGATATGGCACACACGGATTAAACTTTATAATTTAAAACAAAACCCACTTAAATAATATAATAGGGATAACTTATGTGACTAGGAGAGTTTGCACACTTTGTTAGTTTGTATATCATTGCTCTATACAAAATTAGTGTTCTTTATTGAGTTTGAGTCCTTTTGGAATGGTGAGCTACTACAGTCTACGTTTTTAAAAAGAATTATTATAAACCCTAATAGAATATACATAACATTTATTTTATTTTATTTTTTTTGATCAACAAAAGAGAACCTTTATTGATGCAAAAACCAAACAAAATCAGAGATTACATCAAAAAAGGAGGGGAAAAGCAACAAGCTAGCTCACCCCAGGAGTTTGGTGAGGAACCAAACCCAAGAAGAAGAGAAACAAAGAAGAGAACAACAAAAAAAAAAACCAACAGACCAATAACAGACCAACCATAAACCAACATCAGAAATACACTGCAGCCAAAAAGACCTCCACAGCAACAACCTACGCATAGCAACCAACACCCAATACACCACAACAGAGCTCCTGGGCTTCAAAGCCCACAGAACAACCCAACCCCAGCAATCTCAACAGATCAACCCAGACTGCAGCCCACACAGCCTTCCAAATCTGTCAACACCAATACACAGCAGCCAAGTAGGACCAAAAGACCTCCACTGCAACAACCTACGCATAGCAACTCCTGGGCTTCAAAGCCCACAGAACAACCCAACCCCAGCAATCTCAACAGATCAACCCAGACTGCAGCCCACACAGCCTTCCAAATCTGTCAACACCAATACACAGTAGCCAAGTAGGACCAAAAGACCTCCACAGCAACAACCTACGCATAGCAACTGCTGGGCTTCAAAGCCCACAGAACAACCCAACCCCATCAATCTCAACAGATCAACCCAGACTGCAGCCCACACAGCCTTCCAAATCTGTCAACACCTCCTCTAACTCCTACTCCAAGGTAGCCACTTAGCTGACAGCAGCAGTAGCAAACTAAACACCACCCAACCACACAGCCTACAGAGAAGGAACAAGCAAACATATACTCTCCCAAAGCATCAACCAGACTTTATGCAGCCAACAACAGAGCATCCACACCAGAACTCCAGTGAAGCTATGCACTCTACCAAGCAATTTATATCCAAGAATAACTGCAAACTCCTAGCAACACTAGAGTCATTCAACAGCTATTGTATGCTGCCTTAGGACAGTGGCTTATATCAGCAGCATTTGCTTTGCAGCCCAAAATGAGATCTTCCAAATCAGCAAACATCAAATTATCAACATTCTGTAACAAATAACAATTCTCATCACAAATAATTCTCAACTTTCACTTTATGGACTATTTGGTGCAATCTCGTTTGGGAACAAGTTTTTAAGTGAAAAAAGTCACTAACAAAATTAAAAAATCAAAAGCTACTAAAAAATTTAAATTTTATACATTACTTATTCACATTTTTTCATATAATTAAAAGAGCCACTTTCATAAATATTTACTTTTCATCTCATAAAAAAGTTAAAATCCAAAAAGTCACTAAAAAACTTGAACCCCAAACAAGGGTAGTTGAGTTGCTTGTAGTTTCTTTAAAAAAAAATAGAAATATGTGGCAGATTATTTAGTACAATTTCTACTTACAACTTATTAGGCAGAATTTATTTAAGCTTAAAAAAATGATTGTCAAGAAGCTAGAAAAATGTTATTTTTGACTTCTACTTTTAACTTACAATAATAAATTGCACCCAACAAGCCCAAAGTGACATAATCATATGCTGTTTTTTGAGATACACACTGTAGATTTCTCCTGAAATATAAAACATCTCCTTTTGAAACATAAAACATGAAGATATAATTAAAATCTTATGTTTGGATGATTTTGGGTTCATGAATCAGTTAGACAAAACCTGTTTAACATCAACATTTCTCATAACCTGTTACATATTGTTTGTGAATTCCAATTTGATTCAAGTTTTAGTTCTGCCATTAATTTATTTTTGGGTTTTGCTAACAAGTACTTCTAAGATACAAGGACAAAAGATATATCAATATGAGGTATTTATTACTAAATTGAATACATTTTTTTATGAATTTTAAAACATTTTATAATTTTTTTGTATTTTTCCAATACAATTGTTCTCACATTCTCAATATTAACAAGCTCTATAAGGATTCTCGTTAGCATTTGCCTTTATTTTTATATACAAGTTCTATAATTTTACAAAGGGCAGATGCACAATAATGGTTTTAACATATAATTAAACCCTTATTGGGCTATCACGATTTACAAATAAAATCATACTCACAAAAGGATGGAATTAGAACTATATGCATTTTGATTCTCTCCAATTTATAAATATGATAGATATCTTTGTTTTGGGAGTTTTTTTTTTTTTTTTTTTAAATATTCCAAAAAAAAAAAAACTAATTAGAGAATTGACTCACTTTTCAAACTATTTAGGAAACTAATCTACTTTTTAAAATCGCATTTTCAAAATGCGATTTTGAAATTGAAATTGCATCTTGAACATGCAATTTTACCTTAAAATCGCAAGTTGAAAATGATGGCGTGGTGAAATAGCATGTTGAAAATGCGATTTCAAGGTGAAATTGCATGTTGAAAATGTAATTTCAATTTCAAAATCGCATTTTCAAAATACGATTTCAAAAGCAAGTTAGTTTCCCAAATAGTTTAAAAAGTAGGTCAATTCGCTAAATAGTTTCTTTTTTTGGATTATTTGAAAAAAAAAAACTCTTTGTTTTGGAGGTGGATTTTCTCTTGTCCATAATTTGGATTGGAGAGTGTTGTCCATCACGAATCTCAATTTATCGCAACTTATTTAATTTATTACATTTGTCAATAATAAAAAAAATAAAGGACAATTGCATTTTAAAAAATAGACCGTTCACTTTTTTGTGACAATTATGATTATCGAATCGACCTAATATTTTGTGTAAATAATATACATAAAGTGCCCAATAAAATAAACAATTTAGATTACCGAAACTGGACCGCAATAGACTCTTGAACAACATCCTCTTCCTTCATTTCACAA